TATATCTAATAAATTGTTTAATTATAACTAAATAAAGTAAAATATAAAGTTCAAAGGTTTTTTTCGTACAAATTTTCACAATAATTTTTCCTTAACCTATAAATATTTAAGTTAAATAACATATTTTTATATTACCTGATTTATTGCCCTTGAAAAAGTACTGTTTTGTTAAGTTTTTGTCTAATATTTAGTTTCAATTTTTGATTAATTTTATTGCCATAATGATGCATGCGTATATGTAGGTATCTGAAATAAATTTTATTAAAATCAAGTAATGATTATATATACATTTTAATAATAAGTCTTATTATAATTTGATGATGACTTAATCCTGCCTCTTGATCATACATATGTTCTTGCAGGTCATTGGCCTAATATTTTTGATAATATTAGACATTCTAATTTTTTAACGGCATGTTTTTTAGTTATTTCATATACTTTTTCAAAAGCCCTGAATGGGCTCTCAGTTATTTTGCATAAATTTGATACGCTTTGGGATGGTATTATTACCAATCCATCATAATTTTTAATTTTATTAAAGTGTAATTATAGTTGTTTGAAGAATTATCTATTAGTGAATGTAAACAAATATCACATCTCACTTTTTTTCTTCAACAAGTTTATGGATAATGTATCCAGAGATATAGGTAGATACATTATCAACGTAGAGAGATAGTCGTGGAATATTAGGTATATCATAAGAGTTGTCATGATTGGGTCTTTTTGAAAATCTTCACAGATTAGATTGGTGTCATCTAATGGGATGCAATCTCCTGTCAATGAAGCTCCCAATCTGGCATGTAGAACACCTTTAACAGCACACCGCAGCTGGAATGCAGATGGATTATTATTGAAGCCACCTCTACTAAGTAAAAATGAGAAGAAAAGTTCTAGATGGTCGTGTGATAACTTATACGTTAATAAATATCTACAAAAATAGGAATAAAAAAGGTTTTATAGGATATTTATAAATAAAAATCATAAATATAAAAAAAATTAAGGTTTAAAAAGATATGTTTTGTAAATGAAATTTGAACTTCATTTTTGGGTTAGGGCCTGTCAATAATTCATTCCCCAAAGCTAGCACACTTTTCATATAGAAAATTAAACCCTCAATGCATGTTTTACGATTCGATTTATAGACATAGTTTCCCTTTTCAAATTTTAAGGCTAATAAAGTTTTAATACACTTTTCCAAAAATATATTATAATTTGAATTGATTTTTGAAATAAAGGGGCTTTATTGCCCTTACCTTAGACGTGACGTGAATTCAAATAATCAAACATTCTAGAGGAATTCAAATAAAAAATAATCTATTAATATAATACTTGTCTATCATTAGAATAAATTCAGGTACCATCACAGTTTTCAAATACAGAAATGTTCAGACTTTTAGCAAAGGCCAAAGCCTTGCCCACAGAAGCACTGAATACTTGTACTGCCAATTTTACCTTATAAATTATAATAATTAAATATATTATAATTTTACTTTCATCTTTTGCTTATAAAATTGAATGTGTGATAGGTTCAATTTATTCCCTGCTCTCAAGCCTTCATTTTCTTGTAAATTATGTAACTTAGTTTTATAATCCCAATTTATGATCTATAAAGTTTTAATATAAAATGAGAAATTTATTTTAAAAGTTACGCTTCCATCTTTGATGAGTAATTTGGCATCAGCTAGTAAATTTCTTAACAGTTTCATTATGTGACACACATCTAGAAGCATATAGACCTTTTCATCTTTATTGACTATATTCTTATTACTATACAGATTTTATTTTATATTGATTAGTCTATATAAAATATTAAAGATATTCATTAAGAAATAAACTGGAAATGTTTATAAAATGTTTTTTATTCATCTAGTAAAAAAATAAGATTATAAATATAATATATAATAAAAATAAACCTGAAATTTATAAAATAATCATATGTTTCTTACGTTATTGATCCAAACACAAAATGGCCGCTACTCAATTCAATTTTTGCCACTTCAAATACATTAATCGGCAGTCTATAGTATTAATGTCATTGGTGTACACCATCAATTCTCGAAATTCCATTCATCTGTTTGTATAAAATAAATAAATAATCAACAAATAAAAATAAATAAATATAAATACGTACCGATGACATGACGTCACGATGACGTAGTGAGGACATCGGAAAATTATAATATAGATTATAGATATTGCAAACTACTTCCTTCTTATCACGGATTACCTAAATGTTAATTAGACCTTACATGTCAATTATATATAATAATATAAAGAAATTGAAAATGGGCGAATATTCTTATATGAAGAGAACGAATATTTTTCAAAAAATCTATCTTTCAAATGGAGGTTAAGATATTAAAAATTCCACACTACTTTCGGCCAGGCGCGTACGCAGCGGGGCGGGGCAAATCCCCCTACCTCAAAAGCTAAAAAATGCAGATGCCGAATTTTCAAAAATATTATTGTTAATATTAATTTATATTTGTTAATATTTATTCCTATCTCATATATATATTTGATTACATTTATTTATCACATTCATCTACTAAGTTATTTTATCAATTAATTTCGATTTCAAGTTTTCCTTGGCGTAATATTTACCTATTATTTTCAATTTTTTTTTTTATCTAGATTGCAAACATTCATAAATAACTGCCTCCGAGCTATAAGCATCTTTTACCCAAAAGTGATATAAAATAATAATTTATTAAGAATATCAAAACATATTCCAATTCATATTACATTAAAGAAACGTCGTATTCAATTCCTAGCTCACATCACGGACTAGTGTTGTTAAACGGCTCATTTTGAGCCGATTTTTAAAAACGGCTAACTCAATAATTCATTCAGAAAAATATTACCTAAGCCTGAAGATTTTGCTCATAGAAGGAACAAAGGTCTAGGCATATATTATCGAAATCTTGAGGCTTAGGCAATATTTTTCTGGTTAAAATATTAAGTTAGCCGTTTTTAAAAATCGGCTCAAGAGCTATTTAACAACACTATCACGGACCATAATCTAGTTTACATGGCTCTACACTTATAATAGGAAAGAATACACAAAATATAATGGTATTATAAAACTATAAAAGATGTAAGGGTACTAAACGAATAATGAAACAATTTATGAAGTTATATAACTGTAAAAATTCCATCAAGAAACTTTTCCGAATTAAAGATAGATATTTTAAATGTAAAATATCTGGGCTTGATTAAAATTTCTAACGTTAATCTCAACTAGTATTTTCTATACCTTTTCAGGACTTCTGGACAAACCGAAATGGAATTGGTATGCTCTTTAAATTTTTTAAATTTTTGATAGTGAATTTACAGCTTTAACTAAAAAAACAAACTTAAATTTAAAATCAGCTACAACTCACCTTTAAAGTAATTAACTTATACAGCAGTTCTTGGGCATAGGCTCTTTTTCTGCCCCGATCTTTTTCTTAAAGCTTATGGACGTCTACATTTTTCGAAATGTTGCGCGTACAAGTACGTGCGGCTTGCCCACAAACGTGTTGAAAGCTCATCATATTTTTTTAACTTTACACCCCAATTAACTTATGTTCCAATTAGATGGAAATGAGGCAAACCTAGCGTAGCTCTGTTGTTTATTCAACGTAAGAGGGCATATGCATTATATATCACGGATTACGGAAATTTATAGTTAATAAATCTTTGCCTAACAGGAAGAAAGAAACTGCAAGCTTGTCCAACGAAATTGAGTCTCCGCCATCAAGCAGTAACAGCTTTTATGGAGTTAGAAGAGCCGATTATTAATGCTATTACTGAAATATCTCAATGGCTTGAAAGAAATATTTCCCCAGAAGCTTATTGAATTCAATAGTTATTCTAAATTTTTTTTCTCATTAGAATGTATAAATTATACAACTATTTTATGTAATACTTTTCAAAAACATGACATTGACTTGATTAAGAAGATGAGAATATCGGAGAGCATTTTATTAGAACTCAAGGAAATTAGAGCTAATGTTGATGAAGAATTTTATATTTTATGATATTGTTGAGTCAAAAGCAGAGCTATACGTGTTTAATATTTGTCCATCTCGACTTGCAGCAAGCAAGCTTATCGACAAAACATTAATTTAGGATCAGTAGAAGAGTATTGTAAAGCAAATTTCCTCTCTCTTAGATACATTTATTTACATTACATCTTCATTGAAATTTTAATATAAATTTTTTTTAAATATTAATTTATAACGATTATGAAAATTGTCGGTACATCTTTATTGAATTTTTATTTTAATTAAACATGCTTACTAACCCATTTAATTCAAAAAATATTATCAAAAAAATAATAATTTACTATAACATTATAAAATATGAAGATCTTTGAAGATCGTTGCTCAAAATTTTTTAAAAATAAAAGATCTTTAAATTTTACGATTGCTCAAATTTTTTTAAAATTAAAAGTTCTTCAAATTTTAAGATCTTCAAAAATCTTGCTTAAAAATCTTCAAAGATCATTTGTACAACTCTGAATATAATAATTCCATTTTATATTTAGCATCACAATCCGCGTGAGATAAAATATGAATTACATTTTATGCTCTCCACATCAACTATTCACCGTTTCTTATATATCCTATTAATTTAATATGAAATAAAAAAAACAAACATTTTACAGTGTTGAACATCTTAACAGTCGCTCGCAGTGTTAATAAAATTTATACAAAAAAAAATTATATTTTATCGTATTTTAAAATTACTTTGTACAAATAAATTCACAATTTTACACAATTATTGGAAAAATTAAACAATCATATATTATTTTATGGTAAAATTAAGATCTTATTTTTATTATTGTAATTTTTTTGATTAGCAGATATTTATAAAAATAATTCCCAATTTATAAGATTTTTATTATTGTTAATTTATTATTAATATTTTTTTATTATTTTTATTCTCTATTTTTTTATATTGTTAAAACGTGTCATATGAACACTAATAAAATTTTTCTCTCAAAAATCACTGCTTTATTTTCCTACTGGAACAAATAGCATTTTCTTTTTTAAAATACTTTTCGCCATACTTTCAATTTTGTCCCGAAATTTTAAGTTGATGTCAATACAAAATTTAAATACTATCGGTATCTATTAGAAATAATTTTTTAATGATTTATATACAATAGATCCATTTGCTGATGCATCTAATAATAGCGATACTGTACAAGATTCGACAATACATATACGAATTCAGCAAAGAAACGGAAGAAAAACATTAACGACTGTTCAAGGCATAGCTGAAAAATATGATAAAAAAATTATTGTTAAAGCTTGCAAAAAGGTAATGAATTAAAAACTTATGCTAATATGTCTAATTTTAGGAATTTGCATGTAATGGTACAATAATAGATCATCCAGAATTTGGAGAAGTTTTGCAATTTCAGGGTGATCAGAGAAAAAATGTAAGTCAGTTCTTACTTCAGGTTGGTATAGCAACACCTGAACATTTGAAAATTCATGGTTTTTAAAAATATTACCTTCAAGTTATTGTTATTTTTATTTGAATTCTCATTGTTATTTTATATCCCTCAAAATATAAATTATTTATAGCAGTACACCTAATAAACTTAATTAATGCTATGATTATACCTGTATTGATAATGTTATAATAAAATTCTTACACTTAGAGTACTAATGTTTGTTTTACCTTTTATTAACATTAAATCAAGTTAAATATGTATTATATGTGTAAAATATTGTAGAACTTGATATTAACATAGATTATTTAAATCAAGTTAACTATGTATTATATGTTTAAAATATTGTGGCATAGATTATTATAGGCTATGACTTTTTTTTGGCAGATTAATCAAAATAAGCAGTTTTATATTTAAAAAATTATGTTTTGGGAAGTATGTAACCTCATTTTTTATACAAATAAGTTTCTTAATTTCAATATTATCAAACGTAATATATAAAAAAATTAGTATATATTTAACACAATATCAAAAAATGAGATCAATTATTTAATTAAAATTTTTATTGTATAATGTGTCTTTGAGCATTTCCAAATAAATGATGCAACTCACATATTATTGAATAAGAGCCTTTTAAGATCTATCTCTCATTTTTTATCATCTTTGGCTATTGGAGGAGATTTACAATATATCAATTTTATATCAAGGCCAACGTATGATATAAATAAGATAAAGCAATTGCATATTCTGACCCCCCCCCCCAAATCATCCTATAAATTTGTTCCTCTTTATTTAAATATTTTTCCCAGTAAAATTTCGATCCTGGTATAACGAGTACCAATTTAGTAAATGTAGACACCGAATTTAACTCAAAAATCAATTTTTATTTTCCATATCAAATCCAATATATAATAATCATAATCCATAATATATTCTTCATTTTACAATCAATAAAACATCTAACTCATTTCATAAAATCTCTGATTCATTTCATAAAAATCACACTGAATAAAATATTATTAATAAAAACATATCCAAAAAAATAATAATCTGATTGACATTTCTTGAAAATGAATAAACATTTTTTATTTTTCTCTTTAATTCAACATTTGCAACACCTCTGCAAGGCTCACTTATTCTTCTTAAAAAAGAGAATGTTCTCTCATTAGTTTACTAAGAGCTGCTAATATATAACCATTTTAATACATTAGTAGTATAATTTAAAATGTGTTTGAAATAATGCAAAGCATCCATAACATTTTTTGGGACTGTATCAACCTTAGTTTAATCTTTTTTGTAACATCTTCATAAAAATCTAACAAATATTTATATTTTTTTTCTATCACCATATGAAAAAGGTTGGTAGAGGGGACATTTATTTTATAATACTCTTATACTGATCCTATATTAATGTTTTGACAATGAGCTTGCTCGCTGCAAGTCGAGGGTGACAAATATTAAACACATATAGCTTTGCTTTTGACTCAACAATAACATAAAATATAAAATTCTTCATCAACATTAGCTCTAATTTCCTTGAGTTCTAATAAAATGCTCTCTGCTATTCTCTTCTTCTTAATCAAGTCAGTTATGTTTTTGAAAAGTATTACATAAAATAGTTGTATAATTAAATGATAAATTCTAATGAGAAAAAAAATTTGGAATAAGTATTGAATCCAATAATTTTCCTGCTTCTGAGGAAATATTTCTTTCAAGCCATTGTGATATATCAGTAATAGCATTAATAATCGGCTCTTCTAACTCCATAAAAGCTGTTACTGCTTAATGGCGGAGACTCGATCTCGTTGGACAAGCTTGCAATTTTTTTCTCCCTGTTGGACAAGGACTTTCAGAGATAATTATTATTTGACTAGAAATTTAGATAAATATGACGCTACTAAAATTTGAAAATAATAGGTAAATTACGCCAAGGAAAACTTGAAATCGAAATTAATTGATAAAAGAACTTAGTAGATGAATGTGATAAATAAATGTAATTATATATATATGATATAGGAATAAATATTAACAAATATAAATGAATATTAACAAAAATATTTTTGAAAAATATAATCCGGCATCTGAATTTTTTAGCTGGGGTGGGGGGAGGGGGGTTGTCCCATTGTCTCCCCCCCCCCCCGCTGCTTACGCCAATGCTTGCAACACTTGTCGTTTTGCCTAAATGTTTTAATTCTTCATAATATTTATCATTTAATATTGATTTTAGCATATATTTTAATTTTGTTCTTGGATCTAGGAAGCATGATATATAATTGGTAAGGGTACTAAATTAGCCTTCGTAGGCTTTAAATTTATTCAGCATTAATTTGGCCGCTTTTTTTATATCCTCATTAACGTGTGTATTAAATGTTTCATTTAAAAAATCCCCATCGAAGCGACGAATAAAGCCGCCGTCCCAATAATTGTATTTTCCGATGAAACTTCACACGTAATCTTGAAAAAAGGTTTCAATTTCCTTAAAATATTTTGCCTCATTGACATTAATATATTTCTTTGGGAAGACATTCTTCCCCTAATCGTTTAATAGCGTCTAAATTCTTTAAAATAAAATATATTATAAAAATAACATTTAAGATTATGGTTAATTTACTTTATTAATTGTAGAAATCATAAGATACTTTGAATTCCACCTAGTGACCACATCGAGTGGTAACCTTGTACCGCCAGAGATGGCGATGTATTTTTGTATGAACTTAGGCTACAGGTGAAGTTTTTTCACCAATTTATGTATTTTTTCTAATTTTTGATCAAAAATATTTAGCCCTTCTTTAACTATTATATTGATAACATGCGCTAGGCATCTATGACTATAGAAGGGCATATTGTATTTTTCCCTATAATGATTGGCCCAATGATATATATAACTATAGATTGGCGATCATGCATAAAAAAACGTCCACACATTGAAATCAGCTTTAGCGCCATTTTGTAGCTTGTACGTTGATCAAATGCCTCAATAATAATAATAATATATCATTGGATTGGCCATTATTTCTGCTGCACTTATCATATTTTTTACATTATCATGTGTAATTGCTATAACTTTTTTTTAATCTCAAATGTTTCAAGAGATTTTAATAAATAATTAGCTATATCTTGTCAATTATGCAGGTGAGGTAGTTCTACTAAATCAAGAAGGTAATTTTTTAGTTTTTAATTATTTGTTATATAATGGACAGTAATCGAACAATAAGATAAGGAGTTGATTCCTGTCCAAACACCATCTGTGGAGAGGGAGATTCAGCTTTGTACATTTTTTAATGTTTCTATAATTTTAGATTTTGATGTTTCATAAATCGAATGCAAGTATATTTTCACGGTTTGTCTTGTCCATATATTTTCCCTTTTAAATATAAACGCGAATATATCCCTGAATTCACTAGAGTCAAGTAGGTTAAACGGTAAATTATTTTTAACAATATATCTGAGTATTAGTTTATTTAAATGTTTAATTTCTTCAGGTTGTAGTTTTCTTATACCCGATAAATTTTTGGGCATTATTTATTTAGTTTGGAAAATAATATCCGGGTGGAATATTTTAATATTCTTTTTAAAGTTGGCTAAAAATATTAAAAATAGATTTTGCAAATATATTATACTTGTAGCTGTATGGATACTGTAGATTTTCTCACAATACACACATTTGCGCCTTGATTTATTAGGTGTATTTTCAAAAATATTTTTTATATTGAAATTGTTATTATATATTGAAGAAGTAGATGATGTATTGGCTATTGAGGAGGTAAAAGAGCTTTAACTAAATTATGGTCTTGATTCATAAGATCTTCCTACAATTTATAATTATATTAGCAATAAATGTCATAATTACTTCGAAATCTAACGTGTCATCCACCATTTCTATGTTATTCATATTAGAGATCTGCAAAGTTAGGCCCGGTGTAACGTGTGAAAGTGATCTGTGAGATTTCGAAATCTCACGCAATCACTTTCACACGGATGGGTTGTGAGATTTTGATGATAATGGCCCCCAATGTTTTTGAAGCGATAAATGCAAAAATTTTCATGACATGAATTTAAATGATAATATACTATAGAGACAATAATGGTATAAAACCTAACTGTTAAATTATAATCTATGTTTTAGAATAATATTTTAATAATGCTTTGCAAGATATATATATCGTTTCATTTTAAGAACTCATCTTTATTTTTTTAAGATCATTAAGTCGAATAATGAGAGCTGTAAAATCAAGGAACATCATTAAAGTTAAGGATATAAAATATAATATAGAGACAATAATGGTATCACACCTAAATATTTAATTATAATCTATGTTTTAAAATAATATTTTAGTAATGCTTTGTAAAATATATTGTTTCATTTCAAGAGCTCATCTTTATTTTAACATCATTAAAGTTAACAATATAATAAAATTTCTCTTTTTGATATATATAAATTTAATTTAAAAGTAGATTATATATAACAAATAAAATTAAGTATTACAAGGTGTGGTGGGTAGTCTAGTTAGTAAGACTTACATTACCTATCCTCAAAATGCGTGTTCAAATCCATGTAGAGTACATTTTTTATTTAAATTGTTTTTTTTTATCTATCTTATCTAAATAGTCGCCGCCTCTCTATAGTTTTAAATTTATATTTTTAGTCTGCATATCATACCAAATAGTGTGTGATAAGATATGCAGATTAGAGGTCTGTAATGGGCGGGTTTTTAGCGAAAAGATTTATTTAACCTGCCCTCGCTCTCACTTATAATTTTTTTTATATATATTTTGTTTTAAAATTATTTTATGGCTGGTTTGGCTCTTTATTTATTTTAATGTATTTTTAATTAAACATATAATATGGAATATTATGAAAAACTATTTACTGTTCTGATCATTTTGCCTGAAAAATATCAAATTCTCCCAAATTTTTTAACCCTCTCGCCCAATGTTGAAAATATTTTTTTTAAAGTACGGGCGAAAAAACCACCCAATCCAGACCTCTAGTTCAATTATTGATAGGAGGCTCCAATCAATATCATAATTAAAGTTTAGCAATATTTAGGTAGGAAAGAGATCCTTACTAACATGCTAATTTACACAACATGAAATTTATAAAATAACCAAATACTCCGATCACATGATATTTCTTATACAAACATCTTCTCGATAGACATTAATTTAGACAAAGCTCATATATGACAGAAAATTTACTAGAGGCAAACCGCCTTTTCTACCCAACCCTCTAAAAATCACAGCAAAGAAACAGTAAGATAAATTCTTAGCTTAAATGGCTTAATCGTAATGCTTATTTTGTTTACCTAATATAATGTTATAAAGATAATCCATCTCTATATTATTTTGTACTGAATTGGGTCACAAATATTAGATAAAACTTTATTTAGCATAAGAAAATAGACGAAGAACTTTATTGATATAAATATTTATACATAATTTTAAATTTAATAAAAACATCATGGAAATATATATAATTATTATCATATATTGCATATCAGAATGTAATTGAATATTATTTATAAACTACAACTTTCATAAAAAATATATATATAAGGCAATAAATTATAATATGAATGAAATATAATTATATATATTTATATAAAAAATTTTTTTTAATAAAAATAATAAATAGTGATTAGATGGAAGATAAATCGCAATCTAAAACATTTTCAAAATGACTCCCCCCATTTTTTATATAAATAAAATTATTATTAAATATTTTTATATTGTCGCGAATATAAAATGGGTCATATCGGGCCCATACAAAATTATCATTATATTTTATATAAGTAAAAATAGCCATATTTAACATTGTGGCCATCGCCCTGACTTCTGTGTCAGAAGCCCATATCTTCTGTGTCATTACATTATTTGAGACATAAGTTTTTATCTCTATTTTTTTGTTCATCTCGTAAAGATAATTTTCAATTACCTTTCCCATCTCGGATGTTAGCATAAATTGTGCCAACCATTGCCTGAGAATAACATGGGAATTTTGAGCTCCAGTAAGCTCTACACTAATCGCCCTAAATTATATAAATTAAATAAAATGAAATTTTATTCTAATATGTTTTACCTATAAAAACAATTCCCATCACCTTCAATTTGCACCAGGATGGTGGGTTCACCAAGTTGTTTCCCATAGTCTACATCCCGACAACGTTTGGGAGGCTTTAAACCATATATTTTAGCATGATATTTTTTCCATACCTTTGTTGTAGGAAAAAAATATCTAGGGATATTTTCTAATTTATTTATCATCAAAATATCATCATCCAATTCTGTATACGTAATAAATTAAAAAATAAATCAAATATATATCAGAAATAACATTACCTATGGGAGTTTTTGGATTGATAAAATCCCTGTCAAGCTGAATATTTTTATCTTCAAACTCAACATTTTGGGAACCACTATCTATAGGTAACACATGTGCTGCTTTATTTTCAAAAAAATAATTCAAATATATCCTATATACAATACCTCTGGGAGACTTTGGATCAACAAACTCCATAGCAAGTGGAATAATTTGATCATAAAGGCCATTTTGGGAACTACTATCTAAAGGCAATGCATTAATTTAAAAATAATTATACTGTTATTAAATATTAATTTTTGTATCTAAAAATATTTTTTTTACTTCATAAAAAATGTAATTTTTTAAAAATCATTACCATTTTCATCTGGATATTCATTGTTTCTTACAATAAATTCTTTTAAATTGGATAAATTATATTTTGTTTTTAATATGAGATTATTTGTGGTTATTAATTCATATACACCTTGATATACAGTAATAATTAATATAATATAAAATTATTACCCTTATCAAATATTTTATTGATCAAATAAGGGCCTATCCAGGGGTTCAACATTTTCCCCCCTTTCCTGTCTGACCTTTTATGGTTCCAAGCAAGAACCTTTTGTCCCAAAATAAAAGATTTAGAACCATTTGATCTTTTTTCGTAATCCTTTTTTTGTTTAAGCTGGGCTATACCAATATTTTGTATAGCCAGTTCGGTTATTTTTTTAAGATGAGCCATTTTAATTTCTAACTCTTCTTTTAAACAATGATCAATTGTTATTTTTGCCATAACCTCTGGTAAGGCTAATACATCCTCAATATTGTTTTGTAACTAAATAATAATTAAAAATATAACATTAAAAATTATTTCTACTGTAAGAGGGCGTCGTGGTTTCTGACCATACATCAGTTCATAGGGCGAAAATCCCGTAGAAGAGTGTATGCAAGAATTGTAGGTGCCACACACCCCTACCAAAGCATCTGGCCAGTCAGTTGGGATATCCAAAACCGATTTTGCTATTCGGTTCTGGATTGTTCTGTTAACTCGCTCAACCAAACCATTTGCTTGTGGGTGGTAGGCTGAGGTTACTCTCTGGACAATCCCACAATATTTATGGAATTCTGTACAAACATTGTTACAGAATTCCCTGCCTTGATCATTTATCTGAATCTTTAATAAATATATATTTTAGTTTTATTAAATTTAAAAAAATATATATTAATATAATAAAATTCAGTTAAAATTGATATTTTTATTTTATTACTTCATAGCATTGGTGGGTGTTGACAATGATGTATAAGGCTTTTACAACAGATTTAGCTGTTTTATCCTTAATAGGAATAGCCATTAAATATTTTGAAAAATAGCATATGGCACATAAAATATATTTGTATTTTTCCTTGGATTCTGGCATCTGGATTAAATCGATGCCAATTTGATACCAAGACTTTGGCACAACTTTAATATTGTGTAAAGCTTTGAGGTTTTATCAAAACGACTGCTTGATTTTTGACAAACCTCACAGGATTTGATAAACTCTCTAACACTTTTATTGCTCCCCAACCAATAAAAGCTTAAAAAAAATAATTAAAAGAATATTGCAAATTTTTACTTTTCAGCTATTATTTGATTAGTTTTATTAATCCCCAGATGCCCTCCCATAGCAATACCTGCAACTGTAGATACACCCCCCTCATGTATTGTTTTAATTATTTTTTTTTGTTCATCTCCTGTCAGTATAACTTTTCTTTCTTCTAAAATATCATTAAATTATATATAATAATATTTGTGATGCAGAAAAAATATATATAATTAATGGCTAGAATAATAAACTGCACTTAATTTTGTCATACAATTTTAGTTGTATATATTATAATACCTAACTTTAATAAATTAATTATGCAATCATTTATAAGCCCAATATACATTATAATAAAAGTATCTAACATTTACTTTTCATCTTTATGTGATAATCTAAATTAAATTTTAGTTGTAAAATAGCATTTAATAATGACTATATGTAAAATTTTATTAAATGTTCTTACATATATATATATATACACTTACATTTGCAGCTATAATTAATTTTAGATGAAAAAAAGATAATAATCAATGGCCTGAGCATTTTTCAATGTTAAAAAATAATATATTGCATTAAACTTATAATGGCTAATTTTAATAAATTAATCATGACATATCTAAAATTTAATTTCCCATAAAAGTATCTAACATTTACTTTTCATTTTTATGTGATAATCTAAATTAAATTTTAGTTGTAAAATAGCATTTAAATGACTATATGTAAAATTTTATTAAATGTTCTTACATATATATATATACACTTACATTTGCAGCTATAATTAATTTTAGATGAAAAAAAGATAATAATGGCCTGAGCATTTTTCAATGTTAAAAAATAATATATTGCATTGAACTTATAATGGCTAATTTTAATAAATTAATCATGACATATCAAATTTACTTTCCCCATAGAATAATTGATTTTCTATAATCTTGAAGGCGGTTATCTTTCTTAGAAAATTAGCCTTATTAACATTTACCGGAATTTTAGAGAATACAAGGAAGTCATATATATCATTATAATTTGAACTAAAATATTTCTGAAATAAAAATATATTTCCGTTAAAAATTTACTTCATAATCATATCATATCATATTATACACTGGGGAGACATCCCACAATTAAGTGGGCACGCAGAAAATTTACCCTACTGTCTGGGCCCTGTTTAATTTGAGTGGGATGACAGGTACCACTCGTGGATAAGTGAAAAAGAATTTCAAATTAAATTGTATTATATAGAAATATTTTTAATTTGACAGCCTCATTCAAATCTGACGTTTTTAAAGTATATTTAAATTAATAATGCGAGATTTTAAAAATATCTATGAGATTTTGAAAAAATCCATGAGATTTTGAAATATTGAATAGCCGTGAGATTTTGATGATTTTAATGGCCCCCAATGTATTTGAAGCGATAAAAATCAAAATCTCATAAAATCACTTTCACACGGTGTCAGCCGTGAGATTTTGATGGTGTGAGAATTCGAAATCTCACGGTAATCACTTTCACACGTTACACCGGCCCGAGTCCGGTCTATTTAAAATAATCGGGTTCGGGTCGGGTCTAATATTTAAAAAAAGTTCGGGCCGGGTCTGGTCGGACCTTGGAATTTTTTTTAAATATATCTAAATTTATCAATTTTATATTGAATTTTTTATGTAAAATAAAAATATTTGATTTTATTTATTGAAACTAAACGACATATAACATATGTCTTTTATTTTGAGTAATTATAAAGATTAATTTCTAAATTTAAATAAATTCGGGCCGGGCCGGGCTTGAAAAATTAGGCCCGATGCAGATCACTAATTCATATAAGGAGGGGTGTTAAAAACTTTTATTAAAAAAAGGATTTATAATTTAAAAATTTTTTTATTAAAAAATATGGATTTAAAATTTTATTATATATTTTTTTAAATTTCATTTCAATTAAAAATAATAATAATTTTATACTAAATCTCTGAAATAGTAAATTTTAATTCTTGTAATTTGTTAACGCCTAGCTGGCACCTAATTAAGGGAGTGGGGGAATAATTTTATTTTTTTGGATATAAATTTCATTGTTTTTTATTTAATTATTTTTTTTATACATACCAAAACTGGGGGGGGGGGGGGAGGTGGTATTTTTATTTTGCTTTTCCCAACTTAAGGAAAAAAAGAAAAGATATTAATTAAAAATTTTTTTTTTTTTTTAAAATCGTAGATTCGAGGGTTCTATCCTCCAATGTTGATAAAATGTTCTAACTCTATTAGAAGATTGATTCATATTCTTTTTCCATTTATGAGCTTTATCTCGTTACATTTGAAAATATGAAAAATGCTTCTTTTTTGCCCAAATTGTTAAATGTTTGGTGATTTAAATACCATGTCTTCCAAGATTAATATCTCATCCATTCCTTTTCCCAATAGTAAATCAATAGAGTCAATGCTTGCTTTCAAGGGCACTAACCTTCAAAAAAGAATACCTCAAACATGATAACCAGTAATGTAGTTTTGAAAGAGGCCAAAATTGTTTGAAACCTTTCCCCCCGTCTGATTTCAATACCTATTTCAATTAGTGGTTTATTTTTCAGTCTTCTCAAAACAGGTATATTTTGATTTTATTTTTCCTCTAGCTGTTTCCATTAATCTCTCTCTGAGAAGTACTAATACTATATATTACAAATTAAGAAATATGTAGTAAGTAATTTGTCTACCTTGTTATATTCTAGTAACTTAAAATGGTTTTGCCTTTATGTATTTTATTGTTACCATAACTTTAAATATAATTAACATATTACAAATATATTAAGTTTTTAATACTTTTATCTGTAATCTGTCTACACTGCGATAGTCTATTTATTTTAAAATGGTTTAGTCTCAATATACTTTATTGTTTTGGCCCTTAGATCTTAAATTGGTTTTAGTAGATTTTTCTGTTTATAGTAGATTTAACCAACATGTAACAAATATATTTAGCTACTTAATACTTTTAATGGTTTTAAATTGGGCTTAAATTCATATATAGTAAATACTTTGTTAAAAGTATGTTTTAAACTTCATAAAATAAGTACATTGGATTATTATACATTATAACATTTAAATGTTTTTGCTTCACATTTGTTAAATTTAGTAGATTTTAGAGATTTTATTAGTTCTTAAACTAAATAATTGATGTTTTGACTTCTCAATATATATATATAAATTACATTTTATAAATATTAGTCTAAATTAGTCAAAGTTTTTGACTTCTCAACATTAATATATTACATTATATACATATTAGAAAATAGACATTTTATTTTATTACATGTTAAAGGTTTTAGTTTCACATGGGTTAAATTCTAGTTACTTTAGATATCTTATTTAGCTAAAATTTAAATAGTTTATTAGTTTTTTTTTCTTTTTTAATACGTAAGCTTCACAAAAAAATATTCAGTTGACTGAATATTTCTCTTTAGGTCTAACTGTTTTTCATTTCCTATCCTCATAATACTTTTGTTAATAAAAGTGGTGCCACTTTTATTATTTAAATATACATTATTACATTAATTATGTTGTAGCTCTTTGCTTTCATTTAACTTATTTAGTTCTTATTTCCACAAAAGTAGTTCATCTGGTTGGCATTTATGATAACATTATTTATGATTCGACTTTTCTAAATTAAAGATCTTTTTTGTCCTATAAGTATATTAATTAAAATTGGATTAGTTTAAATTTAATATTTTATAAGTTTTTGTAAGTTTTTAGCTCACTTAGTTTGAAAAGGTTGCAGAAATCAAAGGCAGAAATCAAATGTTATAAACGTATATTACGTCAATTTATTGATATTTAAATTTAAAAAATATATGATCACATAATTCAAAATAGTTTCCTATATATATTGACAATTTAATTTAATGTAGTTTATAATAAATTGATTTTTTTTTTAAAGTTAAAATAAAAAATTGAACATTAGTTTATTAAGTAAATTGATTTATAAAATATAAAATTTAATATTAGTTTATAAACAAATTGATTTTTAAAATATAAAAGTTGTTTTTAACAAAAAGAAAGAAACAATTCTTATTACATTTGAAATATATTAAGTTACGCCATAAATAGCTTAAGGATGTAAAAAAAAACAATTTTTTAAAGTTAAGATAAAATACATGAGTGTCAATGTTTAACATTTCACACTTTTTTTTTTTTTTATTTGCCCTCTGTCTATAATTTTGTCGTTTGTCATTCTTGCTCGTTAACCCCTTCGTTGATCTTTTTTTGTTGTACGTTTTATCTATTTAGTTCCACACACAAAAAAACTAATTTTGTTTTAATATAAGGAAGAGAAAAAAAAATTTATTATCAAATTTAATTCATTATAAAATTTTCAAATTTTCTAGGCAACACACTATTTCTAACTGGTCTTTGAACGTTGCGATTCTGATCATTCACTTGTACATTTTGGTTTTTTGGTTCATCACCTCCCCTTCTAAAATTCAATGTATAAGGTGATGCATTATTATTAACATTCGCTTTAAAAACTGTTGCACCATTAGAAGAAAGTTCTACATTAGTTGATCTTTTTTTTATTTGGTCCAAGTGTCTTTTTATAATTTTGTTCCCAGTATCTATATCATACAACAAATTTCCGTTTTTGCGCATTATTGTACCTTTTTCCCAATTATTATCTTTAAAAGTTTTATACCATATGCTGTCTCCTATTTCTATATCCCTATCTATTGATATCTTGCGATTTAGTATATGATCTCTTTCATCCCTCGGTTTTATCAACTCCCATTTTGTCCTAATCATTCTGGAGAACATTACTTCGCTTGGTATTTTGTTGGTCGTTGCGTTGGGTGTATTACGATAATTAAAAAGAAACTTTTCTAGAGCTATGTCTACGTCTATTTTATTATTATTTTCCATATTCCTTTTCATATTCATTTTCATTGATCTAATCATACGCTCACATTGGCCATTGGACTGTTGGTGGTGAGGTGCGGTGAGTAAGTGTTCGATTTCGTGATCTTCGCAAAATTTCTTAAATAATTTACTGGTAAAGTTAGTTCCATTATCACTGACTATTCTATTAGGTATACCAAATAAACTTATTATTTTCATCAATTCTTTAATCGTTGATTCCGTAGTTGTGTTTCTCATTCTCCTAATAATAGGAAATTTGCTGAAGGCGTCAACACATACCATAAAATTATTATCTTTGAACTTTGCAAAGTCTATGTGTACGCGCTCGAATACTTTCGTTGCTGTTTCCCATGGGTTTTGAATATTATGAGGATTGTCTGCGTATTTATTGCAAGCATCGCAATTCTTTACCCTCCTGATCTATTTCTGCATTTAAATCAGGCCACCACAGATACTCTCTCGCTAATGATTTTGTTTTTCCAGCACCGAGATGCCCATTATGCAACTCTTGCAAAATCTCTTTTCTCATACCTTTCGGTATTATGATCCTATTCTCTTTAAAAAGGCAACCTTTGATTAAACTCAATTCCAATACCATATTTTTATACGTTTTGTTCTTTATCTGCTCATGATTCCTTATATCGTTGATTACTTCCATTAGTTCTTGATCAATATTTGTTTCTTTAACTATTCTTTTAAAATTTATTGGTGTGTCCCAAAAATTGTCATCAATTATTTCGTCATCTAACTTTTGTACCATCTCTTCTGTATTCATTAGTGGTAATCTGGACAAACAGTCTGGTACAATATTTCGTTTCCCGGGTCTATGAACTATCGTAAAGTCATGCGCTCCCATAGCCAAGTTCCATTTTTGGAGTCGCATTGATATGGAAGAATTGTCCTTGAGTCCCTTCGTAAATATATACACGAGTGGCTTGTGGTCGGTAATTATTACAAATCTTGTGCCTATTAAATACTCCTGGAATTTTTTAACCGTGTAAATTACCGACAAAGCTTCTCTTTCGATATTGGTATAATTTAACTCTGATTTCAATAGTGCTCTTGACGCGAAAGCGATGGGTTTTTCTTTGCCATCACCCTCAATATGAAATAAGACTGCGCCTAAACCTTTCTTTGAAGCATCAGTTGCAATGCCCACTGGTAGATCCGGGTTATAAAAATTTAACGTAGGCGGAGTGCTTATGAGTTTTTTTAGGTAATCAAAGCTTTCTTGATGTGTACTATCCCATGACCACTTGTCTTTATTTACTATTTTGTATAAGGGATCGGCGATGTCAGCAAAATTGCACAGAAATTTTCGATAATAGCTCGCCATCCCCAAAAAAGT